CGGTTTGCGTTATTGCCGTTATCTCTCAATGTGAAAATGGTCCTGCCCCTCGCGTTGATGTGGCCCCCGTCCCCCGCCGGGCTCACTGGGTCCGGTTGATTCTGGTCGGTTCCGTAGACCTGCTTGTTTTCTCCCCGAACGTACAAATTGTCGCTCCTGTTGAAGGATTGAGTACTGACAGTCTGCGTGCTCGTCGTCTCTTTAACGTTCGAACAATTTTTTCTCGACTTGTTCTGCCGATTTTTCGTTTTTGTCTTTTTATATTTAAGCCAAATAGAATTGAGCCCTTGAAATACGCCTTGTAGAGTGGCTTCCGTCTTCTCCCTGTTTTTGACCATGCTCTCGGACAGTGCTTCCAGTTTCCTCTCGAACGCTTCGTGGCCCGAATTGAAATTGGTGTTGATCTCGTACAATTCGTTGATCTCTCTTTCTAGATCGGCCTCGATCATTTTCAGCTCGTTCAGACTGGCGTAATGGTAAGCTTCGGCGTGCTGTTGGACTTCGCCTAGGTACCATTGGTGTGCTTCGGCATGGCACTGGGTGCAAGGCACCTCCACCGGTCTTCCAAACCCTTCTTGACCGTGTCCCGGGGTGTTCAACTTATTGAATACATACTTCCTCACCTTGTTTTTCAGCCTCTTTCCCAATCGGCTCAGGCCCCTCCTCCTCCTCACATCGATTTCGTGCCCGTCGTAACAATTGAAGTTCGGAGGGAAATCCCTTATCGGGCACGAACTGGAGCAGTTAATTCTTTTACTACAAGCCATTTTTAACTACGAAAATTATCGGTACAATTTAGAATATTCTACTTTATGCGCAACCATGGATACCAGAAAAAAATAATGTTTAAATAATACTTTTTTGTCATTTTGTAACAACAAATTTATTTTAAACTATCAACCTATAAAAAATTTACACCAACTATGTACATATTTTGACAAAATCTAACCCTAGCTTTTATTATATGGGGTATACAACACATATGTTTGGATTTTACCCTGAAGGGTTACCACTCCCCAATATGCAGACCCCAGAGTTTATATATCATGGGAGTTCACCTACACCGTTATGTGGCTGAGACGTTAGTATCCAACTTAAGTCAGATGCCAGGAGATAGCCGCTTCCCGACCAACGGGGGCTGTTGATAGCTAGGTCATTTCAGTCCCCAACTAAAGCTATAGGCTAAACTAAAACTAACCTACTTCCATAATACAGTCACACAGATAAATACATTCACACATTGCACTCATTCTGATTAGTCGGTGAAGTATAAATTCCTCCATTGATCTTCATACAATTTTTTTTCCCATCCACCTCCCCGCCGTACCTAAGGGAGACCCAATACCGGCGGACCACGGCCACTAAACTAATTCAAATGGGATGCAAGTTTAGGGGATGATCTTGTGCTTAACGTCTTCCTTCGACCTTGCCCCGAGAGGGAAGATCCAAGGGAGAAGGGAAATATTTTTCTTATTATTAATTTATCTAATCTAATAGGTCTCCCTCTTGCTGGTTAATACTTTTGAATAGACTTTCTAATAAATACAATATTTTAATAAATAAATAACAATTATGGGTACAAGGAGTAACCAGCCCGGAATTAAAAATTCAAGGAAACGCTAAGATCTAACAAGTAACTTGTATTATTAATCATATGTTTGGATTTTACCCTGAAGGGTTGCCACTCCCCAATATGCAGACCCCAGAGTTTATATATCATGGGAGTTCACCTACACCGTTATGTGGCTGAGACGTTAGTATCCAACTTAAGTCAGATAGAGTCCTGGTCGCCCGCCCTGTGTAATATATATAAGTCAGATGCGAGGAGATAGCCGCTTCCCAACCAACGGGGGCTGTTGACAGCTAGGTCCATAGGAAGAAGTAGAAAAAAAAAAGAAAAAACTAGTCAGGTACTTTATCCACCATAGCTCGGCTAACAGGCTTGAGGACCCCAAAAAACCCCATTCTTTAACCAGTTTTCTTGAGGGTCGGTGGCCAAGTGTGGCGGAAGAGGAGCTTTAGTGGTTCCCTCACACTCTCAAGGAGGGGGCAGTTGAATAGTCTGTGTTGGACACTGTCATCAACTCCGCACTCGGGACACAGTGGACTGTTAGCTCTTCGGAATCAGTGCAAGTAAGCTTTGAAATTTCCGTGACCTGTCATTATTTGTGTGATCCAGAAATCTGGTTGAAACCACTTTGCTCTTGTTCGGTCCTCAATACTGGGTAGAAACTCGTGGATTAACCTTCCCTTGGTGATTCTGTCCCATCTTTCCTGCTACAAGTTGTCTATCCAAACTGTAAGGATCTCCCAGATCTACTTTCTAGGTGCAGTTCGTAGCCTTTTCCTATCTGCCGCATCCAAATTTACCATTGTTGGCTCCTTTCCATCTCTTAGCTGCCGGATTGCAATTTTACTGTGGAGGACAATGTCTATTGGTGCAGTGGAAGCCAGGACTTGAAGGGCTTGAGTAGGGGCTGTCCTATAAGCTTTAGTCGTTCTCAGAAGCGCTATTCTTTTTTTGTTTCGAGGATGCTTCTTCTCCTGCTTTGCAATTTTGTTCCCCAAGCTTCTCCTCCGTACGTGGCAATGGGCAGGTGTACATGACCCTCATCCAATATCAACAATAATCTAATCTAAATTTAGATCGATGGGGTAGTTTCATTTATTAAGATATGTAATTTTTAAACGTTTTTTTTTCTTTTTTCTTTAAACTATTGTCTTCAGGTTGAATAGGAACAGTTCGTTTCCACACAGCCTTTTCTGAACATTTCATACATGAACTTTTGGGTGAAATAAAACACAGTCGTACAGAATAATTTGCAATGTATTTTAATCCTTCTACTATAAATTCCTATATACAATAAGGGTTTCACCAGTTGTACTTGACAATTATTTCTTCCCTGGGTGCCAAGCAGAAATAAATATGTGCCCTTAAACAGCCTTATACATCGCATACGAGATTTTCTTGTAAAAATAGAAGGGACCCTTTTTATATTTTGTATACATTGGTTGAAACATCCTTTCTACCCCTCCTCCTCGGCCCTATAAAAATAGATCTTGGGAATATTTCAAAAGGATTGGTTTTTTCCCTCTCAAAATTCAACAAAGTTAGGGATTTTCTAGAAAATATGTAGAACCCTCTGATTAAGTACTACAAACTATTTTAGTAGTCAATATATATTTTTAGTACAGCCTATCTAAGAATTTAGTCATATTAGAGAATGACTGAAACATCAATTCCGTATTTTAATGTTATTGCAAAGGTTCTGACGTTTCTTTGTTTGGCTGGAATGGTTTTTATTTTTCATAACGTTCAATCTAATATTTTAATAATACACAATTAAAAATTACACTTTGTTAAAAAAACAATTGTACATTAAACCTTTTTTTGTTTTCATAATACACATTTATTCTTAAATACGTCTCTTATATACAACAAATAATGTATTTTACAAATTCCCCATAGTCAATAATCAAAATACACAAAATTTTTAAAATCACGAAAAAGAAAATACACTTATAAATTACAAAAACAACATTTGTTTACAATCTTCTCTCCCAACACTCAAATGTAGAAGTGCGTCATATAAAATTAGGAAAGCTTTGTGTTTTTCATCAGACACCTTCAGATAATTTCTTTTTTGAATAATTTATCACAGTAGAACTTATTAACTATTAGTTTCTTGCGATTGGGTTCTGCTTCGGTAAAAGCCAACGCCATACTCAAGGTGCAAGGAGTGCATTTTTTTGCATGCGTTTCGTACAAAAAAACAAAAACTGTCAATTTAGAGCATCAGTCTTATTTTCAAAGAAAATTCTGTCGTTTTTCCTCGACCCTTGAGGAGGGGGGTGTTGTGCGTACTTCGCGATGAGCTCTCGAGGGAGAAGGAAAACTTTTCAAATTCGGAATGCTAGAAAATCCAAGACAAGACGCTTTGAGTAAAAGCACTCTCTTGAGCCATTTATGGCACTGCTTTGAGATCGGCTGGCCGATTCATTCGAGACTGTCTTACTTCGACCCAGAAACTACTTCTCACGAGGTTTCCATGCCCTGTGGTTGGTAGTGTGAGACAGAATCAACTAGGAGGATAAATTTATTACAATTATTAAAATTATTTAAAAAGCAAAAAAGAATAATCAAGATGATTATTTACAAATTGATACAAATAAATATCAAATTACATTTATAAAATACAGAAAAATAATGACTTGTTGATTGTAACAATATATTATATATCTAAATTGATAACAAATTAAAAAGTTACTGTGTGGAAAAAATGCGCTTCTGAATTTTCAACATTTTTATTAATTTACACTCAGCATATTACAAAATCTTACAATTCTGATATTTACAATTATTAATATTACTACACATATGCATCCAAATTAATTTAAGTACAAAAATATGTGCTTACATTTGTACAGTTTTATGGATATTTGTTATATAATATCATCGCAAAACAATATAATAATTTATTTTCTAATTCAAAAAATATTAAACCGTACTTCTCAGAAATATATACTTTCCTTTATAAACATTGTCTTTCTTTTATAATTCATACAATTTTCACTCGCATTTTTTCTTTCTCATTAAACCTTAATAAATAAAAAAATGCTCTATTTTTTCCACACAGCTTTCAAACGATTTAAAACAAAACACAAAGTAATCACAAAATACATATAATAATTACATTATTATTAATATTATTAAAGAATTAACGATGTCTATACACAAGGTTTCTGTTTTGTTAGGGTAAGCAATTTTCAGGTGGATTTTCACACCTGCACTACTCTTTTCGTCAAAATTTTGTGCTCAGCAAGCGACTGCTGTCTGTCCTGCTTTGGCTTGGGTCCTATACTATGCTACTCGCACTTCATATTTACAGTGAAAACACGAGAATGAAGTTCAGGAGGGGAAATAATTTCTCATTTACAGTAATTGACTACATTGACCAAGAGAGAAAGGTTAAAATTAAAAATTATCACAAATGTTGTAGAAAAATTTACAAAAAAAAAAAAAAAAAAAGAACTAGGATAATATTCTAATCGCCGTATCATCATATTAATTGAAAATTGAAACAAATTAGGCTTATAAAACGGACTCTATTTGTTTAATTTCCATTGAATTCATCTGAGAGCCGGGAGAAGGGGCAGTTTCGACGATCTCTGGGATGTCTTCATTCTCCTCGTCATCCTCGTCGATCGGTGTGAGAGCGTCCATCATGACAGGTTCTGGTTCCTGTTTGGTGCAACGCTTCATCATCGGCGCCATAAACGAAGTTATCGTAGACATTAAGAAGAAGAAGCCAGCCATGTAAAACGGTATCGTGTACGTCTTAGTCGCATCGTATACTGCGCCAGCGAGAGGAGAGCCGACGATAGCTGCTGCACCACGGAAAAGTATCAGCAGTCCGAATGCGTTCGTCAGTTTGTCCAAACCAAGGAGGTCGACGAGAATAATCGATGTCAATGAAATATAGGCAGCTGTAAAATAGTATAAATTTCAAATCCGAATTTAATCCAAATAAGGCTAAAAAGAAGTGGATGGAACTTACAGATAGCAAGGCCGAAGAATACCGACATCGTGACATAGGCGGCATACGATTTACAGAAAGGAGTCGCTGTGACAGCAATCGTAGAAACAACGAGGCTTAAGTTGTTGAGTAGAAGAGAATTTACTGAAGGGAAATCTGCCACCCAGCCACAAAGGACACGACCTATCGTGTTCGTTATCCCGATTATGGAGAGTAAAAATGAAGCCAATCCTTGATCAATACCCTACGGAAGAAACAAACAAAAAATAAACTTGGAGGATAAATAAATTAAAATGGAATGGAAGAATGATGAACATACACAGAGAGGCAAAAACATGGCCACCCATAATATTTTTAATTATCAATATCATATTATATTATTACAATATTTGGTCTGTTTTAAAGGATCTGAGGTAAATAAAATCCCCAACTTGTATTTACAATTGGATTTTGTAAATAAGTCGTGTCTTCTTTGTTGGGTTTTCTGTAAAGCTTCTTTCTAACATTCAAATGGTTTAATTTTTTTTAACCCAAAACAACAATCAAATTACAGAGCAGCAGTAATTATGGCAGTATTTATTTCATTAAACTGGTCCACATTTAACTATTACTTATCCTAATCTGTAATTCACTGTATGGTGCATTATTAAAGATGATGAAATGTCAAAACAAAACATACATGAAATTAGGTTGTTTACAATAATCGTTTTGGCATTTTCATTTTGGTGTTATAGTAAGAAATATTATACAAGGATACAAACCCACCAATGAAAGTGTACATACAAGCTAAACAGACTAAGATGACCAAACTATATGTTTCATCACTCTGCAGATCTCAAGGAGAAATTACAACAAAATGTAAGCACAAAGAGACAGAAAAGGATTATCTGGCTAAGTGGACAATAGAAAGAAAAACCCACATGACCCTTGCTTCCTGGTCTATTCTCAAATTGTGATTGTAACAAACCGATTTAGAGTTTAATCCAAAAACAAAATTCTATCAGAGAAAACTTCGAAGTCATACATGCTCATGATAAAGAGAAAATTCACAAATAATATGGATCTGACTTGATGAAAAAAAATTCTATTATTACTACGAAGCATTCAAACTATTTTATGATCATCATTAAGGTAAAATGGGGAGGGCTCAGCCTTCCTCGTATGTACTGACTCCCTGAGTGCTGTCTGGGCTATACGTGACAGGTTCTCTGTGGACCCTTTCGTCGTGCTCTTGTTAGAGAAACACGTGGAGCTGGAGCCTCTCGGAAAAACGGTGGTTGTTGTTTGGATTCCCAGACACGTCGGCCTGGAGGGTAACGAACGCGCAGACGAGGCAGCAAAAGCCGGTACGTACCACCCTCCAGATCGGACCATCGCGATCAGGCCCCCTGACGCTAAACATACAGTTAAAAGTATGATAAAAGAAAGATGGCAGCATCAGTGGGCAGGGTCGTCGGAGAGGCTCTTGCGAGTCAAGAGCTCGACCGGTAGATGGCCCTCAGAGAATCTGAGCAGGAAATGAGGGATCGTCCTCACCCGACTAAGGATTGGCCATACGCGGTTGACACCTGCGCAGGTGCCCCTTATGCAGAGAAAGGTTGCTCGATGTGTCTCACATAATTTTTTCTTTCCAAAAGGTAGATTGGGGATGAGGCTGTTAGTTTTATTTCTATATGCTTATTTTCCTCAACATCGTGCCAGTCTTTTTCCCATCTATACCAGATTTCTGATTTTATATTTGAAATATAATCTCGCCTAGAATTTCTCTTACTAACTGCCCTTAAATGGCTGCCTCTCTGGCTGCCCTATCCGCAATCTCATTTCCAGCAATGCCGCTGTGACCAGGAACCCACACTTAGTTTATTTAAAAAAATCAATTTCACACAAAAACAAGCTGATTTAAAATTTTGTGTTATTCTTGATCAAAAATTGTAATGGTTGTTAATTATGATGCTTAATTAAAAAAATAATATTTAAAAAAAAAGGCTTACGTCTTGAACAGCTGCATCGACTAAGTACACAAAAGGCACGTATAGCCCTGCCATACCGAAGATGTTGCTGATACCTATGAGAAGGAAGACTGGGTCTTTGAGAAGTGTGTAGTCAAGCATGGCTGCAAGAGCCGACTTGAAAGATTCGGGCAAAGTGAGGCAAGGGCAGAGTTCAGCTGTAAGAAGAAAATATTGAATTCAGAATGTATGACGACAGAAGAAGAAAAAAATGAACAAATAAACCTACGTGGATCTACGACTTCGCCATCAGGGCCACGGTGTTGGTACCTCAGGGAGACAACACTCTGCCTGTAGCCGGCTAATGACCTCTGCGACTGGTACTCCGGGAGGTTGACAACCGAGCCGGAGTAAAAGATGTCTTTACGTGAAAGCGGTCTGATCAGCTCCTTCCTAGCCGTCATGCTCGCTTTGCTAGTAGCAAAACAAACGCTCTCTGTGTCCACCTAAAAAAATACTTTTTATAATTAAAATTGTCTGACCATCTCGTTAGAATATTATAGTGTGTACATCTGTTTTGGACCACATGTCGTCACAGTTGTTGTTCTTGGTGCCGCTGACGACTGAAGAGGTGGACAGACGGAGATGCATCGATCTCCTGATGTCACCGTTGGAGTTGATGTTCGGGCGGGAAGAACCTTTGATCGCCTGGAGAGTCGGTTTGAATCTCTCACCCTGGCTAGTCTTGCGTATACGGTCGAAGAACGGTACGGAGCCATTCTTGGGTAGCCCTTGAACGTGTGTCGTAAACGCTGGTTGTGATGCATTTCTTGGAATGGACGCCTTTGGCACATTATTGTCAACTTTTTCATCTTTTGACTCCTTCTTTTCTTTTTTCAAATCATTTGTGCTTCCTGTAATAATTTCAATAATTTACTACAGAAACTAGGTAAAGATATGACATTTCTATTGTATTATAACTCTCAAGAGAGAACATAAAATTTCCATTCTGTTGGATTTTCTACTATTTAAAATTAGACTCTCACATAGATTTAAAAAAAAAAAATACACTATGCTGGGTGCTAAACACACAAAAATAAATTGTAGTATGTGGAACAGATAGGAGAAGTATCATTTTAGTAGATTTGGATAAAATAATTTTTTAAAAAGAAGCATAAGACTTTATACTAATATGCATTCTTGTAACTAAGTGGATGGTGGTAAATATGGTGACAACACGTGTGGGAACGGTTTTTCTAACTAAAAACGCTTAATAATTTAAAACCAGGGTTTTCTACTGTTGTGGGAAACAAAATTTGATGTGCCTTTCAAACCTTACCTAAAGAGTTGATATGTGATTGTGTTAGTGTCGGTAAAGGGAGAAGAAGTGATTGTGCATAAGAACCTTTGTTTAAAACCCTAGTGCAGTCTGGAAAACCCATTGTGCTGATTCAAAGGATTTATAGAAAGTTTGAAATTGAAGAAACGCTTACCGCTGCTGGAGCCGCCGGAGGAGCCGCTGTGCTCGGGCACTTTGGCCTCAGTGATGGTCGGAAGTATGGCCATGGTCGGCACAGGAGTGATGGGCGTACCGGGCACCAATTCGTTGAGATTGAAGCTGGAGTGGACACCTGGGTCGATGTTGATGGGCATTTTCATCCGTTTCTCCATCGAGCCGTCAGGAAGCTGGACGATGAAGTAAGATCCGCCTATCGATCCTCTTTCCATCTGGAATCTCTTCTCGTCCGCCATTCTCTGGAGAAGGGGCTTGCACGAGGGCCCTTTCGGAAATTCCAACGGCCTCATCATTGCACCGAAAACCTAAAGACATCACATAAATAAATGAAATCAGAACATGATTTATATCAACGAAGCACTTACGGCGCAGTTAAGGATGAGGCCGGCTAATATCAGGTTGGCGCCTTGCCAGCCAAAGTGTTCCAGGAGGAATGTGGCAAGCGGGGCGAACGTAAACGTCCCAAACCCAGACCCACAAACAGCAATACCAGTTGCAAGTGATCGCTTTGTTTCAAAATAATAACCAACACATACTACTGCTGGGAGGTAAATAAGACCAAATCCTACACCTGAAATCATTATAAAATACTGTAAAACTCAAGCAACAAATAATATTCCAATAAAAATGGGAAGAAATAAAATGAAATAAATAAAGTTTGCTTGTAGTGATAGATTGTATTTTACAGGATGAAAACAGCAAAGTATATATTAATTTCTAATTTAAATGTAATAATTGGTGGTAAAACTTTTTTAAGACAGTACTACTGTCTCACAAATCTGATTAACTGGTAATTTGACTGGCTATTGATTTCTATTCTTTATATATTTTTTAACATTAATTAAATTTTTTTATTTTTAAAACTTTATTTTTTTGTATTGTAGTTTATTGAACATATACTGCAGGATGAAATTTTAATTTTTAACAAAACATTTTTGACCTCATGATACGAGTCCTCATCAGTGTTAATTTACACACAAAAATTAACACTAAAGAAGACATGTCATAGGTTGAAAACGTTTTGTTTAAAAAAGAAAAAAAGCTTTATATTTATTATAATTAATTAAGGTTTTTAGTTGAGATAAAAAAGTCAATGGCACGAGCGGGATTCGAACCCACAATCTTCGGCTTGATACGCCGCTGCTCTACCACTTGAGCTATCGTGACCTCGATCCACTCGGACACCAACTTCCCATCTCAACCGCACCTTTTGAATTTTCCCTCCTTTTTGCCATTTTTCAATTGAATCCCGTTCGTGCCATTGATTTTTTTTATCTCAACTAAAAACCTTAATTAATTATAATATATTAATTGGTCAAGCGAATTAGTGAATTTAATGATTTGGAATGAAGTATACTTCACTATAGCTCTCCGTGGCCATTTCATTTGTCGTCGAGAATCCAACCCGATTACACGACATTTGAAAAATGGTAAAAAGGAGGGAAAATTCAGAAGGTGGGGTTGAGATAGGAAGTTGATGTCCGAGTGGATCGAGGTCACGATAGCTCAAGTGGTAGAGCAGAGGCGTATCTAGCCGAAGATCATGGGTTCGAATCCCGCTTGTGCCATTGACTTTTTTATCTCAACTAAAAACCTTAATTAATTAAAATATATTAATTGGTCAAGCGGACCATGAAATTAGTGAACTTTATGTTTATGTTCAATCACCTACGATATATTTTTATTCTCGTATGTGTTTGATTAATAATTAATATGAAATCTGATGTTATTAGAAAGGTCACATTTAATTAAATACATAATTTAACAAATTATGGATTTTTTAAATATGACATTTGATTATTTATTAATAATTTATTTCTTAGGATAACAAGTTGAATTGATTTGTTTTTGTTTAGTTAAATAGTAACTACAACTTATCAATAATAATTCTAGAGACTCAAAAATAATCTACGGTTTGCTTACCCCCCATAAATCCATACGTAATCATGAGAACGTTGACGTTGGGTGAAAATATACTCAGGACGAATGCAAGGCATCCTATGATGCTCCCTGCAATGCAGACAGCCCTGCATCCAAATTTGTTGGTCAGCGCACTAACAATAGGACCTAAAATTGGAAAAAAATTCAATGTAAAAAAAAAAATGCGTGAACAATTAATGTCAAGTACAATACAATTATGCAATCAACACACATCAATGATGCAGGACCCAATTACATAAATAATTTTGAAAGTAATTTCCATGAAAACCAAAATGTCACGGAAATTTTGAGAACTTCTACCATGGTCATTCTCTCATTCAGCTGACAGGTGCATTCAATATAAAAGCCTGGCCCACAAGTTTGACAACATAAACATAATTTTTATAATGAAAAAGGAGCTGAAAGAGACTCAAAAGCCTAACAAGATAATTAATGGGGCACTGTGGACAAAAGGGGCACTTGAGGCATACACATTTTGTGGAGGAGTTGTGGACAGGAGGTCAAACCATTTTAAAAAACTTGTCACTGGGATTCGTACCCAGAATCGCTAGCGTAACAAATACAAGCCAGACACCATAACCACTCAGCTCCAACAAAATTACTTGTTAATAATTAACTGTGGTGCTACACTTATCCACAGGGATGTATAATTTAACCTAGAAAAAATACAACCACTAATGCTGGGCCTAATAATAAAATTTCTTGATGAATCGGGACTCGCCAATGTGCTAAGGCACAGAACAATTTGTCTCACACAACATCCCATAAAACGTTCAAAATAACAAGACTGAGCATAGGTCATACAAGAATAACTCATGAGCACCTTTCGGCTAGCATGCGACCATGTAGATGCCCATTATGCAAGGATAATATAACGGTTGAGCACCTGTTCAATTCAAGATGTCCTGACTTGTACAGAAAATATTTTGGCCTGTGCATAATTTTAGGCATGTCAGCGGGTACAAATCGCTGTTCAGGTACCTCAGGGCTATAGGAATCTTTAAACTATGTCCTGTTTATGTGTGTTCGTGTTGTGTCTGTGTTGACTTTATGATAATTTATTGGAATGAATGTCATTCATTAGCGTGAAAGATAGGTGTTGTTTAACCCCAACCCTAAGGAATATCAAGTAATCTTGGGAAGTGAATGTGACCATAATCAAGGGAAATGAATGTGACCAGACTTCTAAGTTTATATAGGGTTGTGATGATATGTATTCGCACAATTCCTACTGACATAAGCTGGAATCGGCCAAAGTATTGGCTAAGTTAAGAGAAAAAAGTGTCTTAAGCATTTTCTTACCTGCGCTTAGGTACATGCCGGAGAGGAGGGAGCCGACCCAGGCCGTCTTTCCTTTGCCTTCGCCGAAGAATTCGACGAACTCGCCAAGGAAGACTCCAAAGGTGTAGGCGATGCCGTCCACGATCATGTTGCACATGAACGAGGCGAAAACGATCACCCAGCCGTAGCCACCATCTGGTGGCGGTGGGATGTCGTGCACCTCACAGAAGGAGAGAGCGTCGCCATCCTCGGGGCTGAGGTCATCCTCCGTCAGTCGCACTCCTTCCTCTCCACCACCGCCCCGGTCCGAACTCTCGCTCTCAGTCTGAAAAAACAAAACAATTACCAATTATGAATTATTCAGTTTAAATACAGGAACACATTAATTTTAATTACTGTGCTAGGTTCATGACTGCAAAAATATAGTCGTACTTATCAACCTTGACAAAAGCTTCAAACTTAGTGACCACATTTATATGTATTATACAAAAGTTTAGTTTCTTAGTGAAAATAATGAGAAAAAGCCAAGATAACAATGGTAATTGTTGTTGAACCTAAGACAATTTCATTTATAATAGAAAAAGTTATTTTAAATTGGACAGAAAATTCAAGAAATTCGAATTTTTAATGTTTCAAGGATGTTTATTTTAGAAAGAAAAAATTGTCCAGCAAGCATCTGGCCCTTGCCTTCTTAACGCTAATTGTATTAAGCAATAACGAATGATCTGCGCTTAGCAACAGCATAGCCTAAATTTTTTTTTTTTTTTACTGGATGATGTATGTGATTTGTCATGAGGGTCTGCAGGAAGATGAAAATCATCGTTTTGTTCCGTCAGGCTATTCTCGCCATCAACAAGGGTTTGGGTCCGCAATCTCATAATTGAGCAAAACGGACCAGACCAATTTGATTGGAAATGACCAAGTTACAACTAACGTTTAGTTATTCTGCCCATCCTAACTAACTGAGCAACTGTCCATCTCTCCACATTTCATATGCTACTTTCTGCACCACACAAAAGTCTGGAAAAGCCAAAAAGATTGGAAGTGGACAAACTACAGATGATGCATCACTACTCAATAATTGTCCATCATGATTTAAATCATAGTGGAACTATAAAAAATAAATTGAAATTTACTACTATTAAAAATAATAAAATTTTAATAATAATAGTAATGACAAAAAATTCAATGTTTTATTTTGGATATTTTAGATTTAACTGGTTTGCTTACAATGTTAACTTTCATCTTAAGTTTTTCTGCTTGGCAAATATGCCCCCAGTGAGGTTTTGTCAAGAAGGAAATAAGTATTGAGTTTAGTTTATTTATCAGGTTTAGCCTGAATTTCAGTGGATATTAAGTCAAGACTGATAAACCAGAATATCCTACTTTTCTTCTTACAATTGCTGATTGTTTATTGTTAATTGAATCATTTGTTTGTTGCATATTGCCAACATGCTAAGCATATTTTCTCCTTGAGCAGTTCTTTGAATATTCCATATGAATATTACACCCATTCTTGTATATTTTACATGACAAATATTTAAAGTAAGTAATTTTTATTTAAAAAAAAAAAAAAAATATATATATATATNATATATTACTTACTTTAAATATTTGTCATGTAAAATATACAAGAACGGGTGTAATATTCATATGGAATATTCAAAGAACTGCTCAAGGAGAAAATATGCTTAGCATGTTGGCAATATGCAACAAACAAATTATTCAATTCTTTTAAAAAACACACAAGTCTTTCTTTGTTGAGTGAGGGGACAAATGGGCATCGTGACAATGAAAAGAAGGTGTTAATGATTGTGAGAATTTAAATGAAATGATGCCTATTTCGTATGGTAGAAATTTGTTTCAAAAGAAAGTCGACTGTAAATGATATCAAAGATGCCAATCTACGCTAAAAGGAAAGTTTTTTAAGTTAATCAACCATTGTATACGATAATGAGCAGAATCCGTAGTAACCATGGGTTGTGTGGCATAATCTTTTTTAGAAAAATTAACATTGTACTGATTTATATGAATTTTGCAATACCAAGGAAGGATCTTTAGATCTTTTTATGTCATAATGCACTGTCCCTCACACCTACAATAACCAAAGGGAAGAAATATTAAACTAGATCCATGGATTTAAATTTAATAATTATTTGGAAATCGTGAAATGCAGTCTGGTGTGACAAAGGTTTTAGAAAAACATTTTCTTTATCATGACAACGTTTCGATCTTTATTGACATCATCTTCAGGGCTCAAAGTGTTTGTTTTCTGTGTAAATGTGTCATTCTTGTGTGTCATGTTGAGAGTGCTTACTTATTTAATAATTTCTGTGAGTTATAATTGCTATTATTTATTTAATAGTACCAATTAGTTGAGGGTATGCACTTAGCCAAGCAGCCAATTACAAAAACAAAAGGAAAAAGGCATTTTTATTTGCTTGTTTACAAGTGAAGGGTTAATTTAACAATTAATAACTTGGAATAAGGACAAAAATAAAAATACAAAAAATTGTAATGGAACAAAGTTAATATCAATTAAGTTTTTCAGTATATTTAAGAACACTAGAATGAATAATTTACAAGCGAGAGTGTTTGATTGAATGAATGTATTTATTAGCGTGATCGGTTAAGTGAGTGAGTGGGGGAATAGGTGGGGGGTTGTGGCTAAGCTAGTTTTATTAGGGTTATTTTTAGGGTAAAAGGAAGGAGGCACTGGTGAAATATCAAATACCTCAAATTTTATCTGTAGATATTGTATTATTGTATTTATAAGATTGAATGTTTACGAATGTGTACATGAGCCTGTGGCAGAATATACAGTACTCCATGACTCACCAGCCAAGGATAGTTTTGCATACGGTATATTTTTTATTTTTTCGGCGTAAAACCACGGTGCCTCACAAATGTTTAATTTTACATATAGTATGACAGCTTATAAGTTAGTGTGAATGTATTTATTAGCGTAAATTATGGTGGGCGCTCAGCCGGATATCCAGTTCCATGAGACCCACCAAATTGAGCTAGTGGTGGCTAATGGTGTTTAGAGTGAAAGGAGAGAAGCACCGGTGTAATATCAAATAACCCAGTGACCCCCAAATTTTATCTATTCATACGGATTATATCTTATATTAATATACAGATTATATCAGTATATTATTATTTTTTCGGCATAAAACCACGGTGCCTCCAAAATTTGTAACTGTACATATAGTATGAAAGCTTATAAGTTAGTGTGAATGTATTTATTAGCGTAAATTATGGTGGGCGCTCAGCCGAATATCCAGTTCCATGAGACCCACCAAAATGAGCTAGTGGTGGCTAATGGTGTTTAGAGTGAAAGGAGAGAAGCACCGGTGTAATATCAAATAACCCAGTGACCCCCAAATTTTATCTATTCATACAGATTATATCTTATATTAATATACAGATTATATCAGTATATTCTTATATTTTCGGCATAAAACCACGGTGCCTCCAAAATTATTAATTATATAGTAGGAGTCATATAATATGAAAGCTTCTAAGTTAGTGTGAATGTGTTAATTAACGTGATTTATGGTGGGGTTCTCCGTGGAAAACCTAATACCCTGAGATAAGTAAACAAACTTTTACGTTGGGCCACAATATAATATGTATGTACGTAAGACTGTACATGAGTTTCAAGATGTGTGGGGCCAATTAAAAATTATAATAGTCACAGAAGTACCATCAAAAATGAAAGACCACCAGAGCAAAATTTTCTCAACCAATAAAAAACCGCGAGGTGCTATCAATAGTCAGAGAACTAACTTGACAGAGCTGGCAAGAAAAAAAATAAATAAAGGAAGAACATCAATTGAATGTATATAGCTTAGATTTTTTTTTAAATGATTCATGTTGAATTCAAAAATTGTTGGGCAAACGATTGGAATGGACGAGATGGTAACACTTCGTGAAGTATATTTTTGAACCTTTAGTACATTACCCAAGGGGATGATTGAGAGGCCACTTTTCTTCAAAATTATTTTTTTTTTTTTTAAGGGAAAAATCTCTTGAGAAATAATATTTGAAAGGTTTGTTGTAATGAGCCAGGGGATTTTTCGCGTCGACTCCTCCCAATTATCGGTTTCGTTGAATTCGGCGGACGATCGATTGTAAATCCCTCGAAAGATATTATTGACGTTGACTTGTTAACTTTACGGTTGACGGCTTTTGTCATTCCTTTCCATCAGAGGGCGGTTTCCCATTCCAATTCGAGATACATCTCGAGATGTCTTTCGAAAGAGCCGGGGAAAATAGGCCGACACACACGCACGACGGGGACGTCTTGCGGGTTTAGCAGACCGGGAGGATTCGCCTTATTGCTGAATCCCTAAAAATTATTGGTCGGAATGAAATTGAGCCGTTATCCCAGATAGGCCGGGAGCATCTCTTTTTTTCGAGGACAAATGAAATTACGCAAGTCTCTTCACGTAACGATTTATGTAACACCGATTGGATGATAGCTTTCATATTTCAAAATGGAACCGATGGAAAATGATGCCGTGTTTTTGCAAACTGCATTGAAAAGCACTAATTCTATTCCCAAATAAGAAAATGTCTTTCCATATAAAGAAAAAATAGGTTAAATGAATATATAACATGTCGCATAGTCATTTTAACTAATCAACTGCCAGCCCTTTATCTTCAGCAAACTTCATGACTTGAGCCCAATCAGACGAAAATTTCATTGCAGTAAAAAGCTATATTCTTTACATGTCGCTGATGATTCTTTTTCTCAGGGTAAAGATTGCAATTTACCCCTTCTTAAAAGATTGGGGGATATAAACGGCAGAAAGTTTAAAAAAAAAAAAAGGTACGCAATATTTTCGGCAATGATCTGGTCATTTATTCTGAAAATTGTGGCTGAGTCCGACCATTTTTGGCCTCCTAACAAGTTCTTTTGGTAGTTTCTTACTAAACTATTTATAAAAGGGCAAACACGCCACTGAACTGCCAGTCTAAAACAGCGAAACTTGACATTCAAGATGATCGGAAACGACCAGACTACAAATTATCAGTTATTAATATTCCTGAGCAAAATTAAAACTGTATAAGTAAGTAAGAAGAATAAGAAGAAATAATTTATTCAGGGACAGAAATGTCCCTTTAGAATAATACATACGTTAAAGTGAAAATTATTAACATTTTGACACAAAAATAAACCTTGTCGTGGTGATGAACGTAACAAAAACGGACTTAAACAAAACCCAAAGGAGTTAAAACTAAAATGAGTTACTCTAAAAATAATAATAATAATAATTACTAAAGTAAAAAGTATTAAAAAGTAAATTTAAACTGTGG